TCAGTCTTCACAAGTAAATCTCTCACCCATCATCACCAGGCAAAGCATAAAACAAATTGATCTAGTCTGCCAATTCTAGAGAAAGTTAACAATGATAATGATTATTCTTAAAATGAGTAGGAAATACATATTGTGCACTTACTGTGTTTCCTATCTGCCAAGCTCTAGGTCAAGCACTTCTGCATTTTTACCAAGTCCTCAAACAATACTAGGAGATAGCTACTACTTCATTTTAAGTGTGAAGAAATGAAACTGAAAGCTAGTGAGTTAAAGGAACTTGCCCAAGGTAACAGGGCTAGTAAATAAATACCAGGACTCAAACACTGGTCTGTTGAACTGTGAAATCCATGAAGCAAAAGGAAGAAACATACACGCACATGAATAACTCTGATACAAATGATATTACTAAGAGCCATCAGAGTGGTGTTGATAGAGGTCTGTGGGGATCTGAAGGACGGAATCCCTCCTTGCTTGAGGGAAGAAAGAAGGAAAGTGCACCTTTGGTATTTGAGCTTAGCTTTGAAGGCTGTAAAGAAATTGAAGGACTATGAGAGCAAGAGGAACAGAAACACCATAGAGACAGGAAGCAGTAGGACATAGAGTGTGAAAATCTTTTTTGATTTGAGCCAAGCTCACACATAAACAGGTGATGAAAATTCACTTTTGAAAGAAATGTTGAGACCAAAATGTGGAATACCTTTAATATTAGGCTAAGGATGTGTTTCTGAGTAAGTTTTCAAGCAAAAAAAGTCATGCATTATCATGTCTGTGTTTTGGGGAACGTCTTCAATGAGTGAATGGTTGACGTCATCTGAAGAGGGAAGAATACAGGCAGGAAGACCAGCTAAGTTATTTCAACAGTTTAAGTAAGAATTGCAAAGGTCCAAAGTAGGAGAGGAAATAACAGAAAGAATGAAGAAGAGTGGACAAAGGTGAAAGATGCTTGCTTCCAACACTGTATTAAGTGTGAAAGACTGTGTTCAAAAACTTCCTAAGTTTTTTTGCAAAGACCAGATGTATACAAAACAAAATCAAAAACATTGCTTCAACTTTGGAAATTAGTGGCACCAGGATACAGAGGAGGAATCTCTGTCAACTAAGGTTGAAATTTCTAAGGAAGATTTTTAATAGGGCCGTTTATTCGACTCAACCAAGGGACACTTGGCAATCTCTGAACGCCTATTTGGTTGTCACAGCTGGAGGGTTAATCCTAGTGGCACCGAATGGGTAGAGGCCAGGGAAGCTGCTAAACATCCCATAATGCACAGGACAGCTTCCCCCCACTCTTCTCCAACAAAGAATT